ATAGCTCCGAACACGCTGGCGATAGAGAGCTGAAACTTGGCATACCTGACCTTTGATCCAAGCCGCATCTTTTGACACCAACCGCATTTTTGGGTCAGGTCAGGTCACTGACCTATGACGTCATAAGTGAACCTCTGCACGGTCTTCAGATGTCGCAACTTCGCAACGCCCTCACTGCCAGAGGAGATGTCACAGGGAAATGAAACTTGCAGGATCTAGTATCCATTATGAGTCCCACAACTTGTATATCTCGGATTTTTCCTAAAGGTCATATGAGGTCAGGTCATTTTCGTGACCTCACCATTATAAGTCAATGGGGAAAAATGAAAACTGCTATTCTGGCGCCGGGAACGATCTCCAACTATCTCAAGCACACAGAATCGTGATTTTATGCACTCCTTGCAAGGTTAGATGCGTCACTTTTGCAATGTTGACCTTGCGTGACGTCATTTATGACGTCATCAAGGTCATATTAGTTTTTCGTCAATAACTCTTGATCAAATTGAGCTAGCGAGTCGGGAAAGCCACCAATGGACTCAGGAAGACCTGCCGAATCGAATGATATGCGACATGACCTCTTTCGACCAACTTCGTGACCTGGGGGTGCTGACCTGACCTTGACCTGAGGTCAACACCCCAAGTTGACCTGACCCGGACAAAAAGTATATCATTCGACGCGCCTGAGCGAGACGAACACGATGCTGCCAAAATCGGCGCTCTGCGGCCGTTTTTTGCGAAGTTATTCACCAAAAACTGAACCGTACCTTGTGGCACTTGACCTGACCTCAGAGGTCACTGGTTGACCTAGGACCTTAAAATCGGGTACCAATCTCTGCGTCTCGTAACGGCGCACACGCTCGTTTTTCCGCGACGCGCTAGCTCCACCAGGGGCGAAACGGCGAGGGGGGGGGGGGTCGTACCCGCCCCCCCCCCTCGGCCGGCGCGTATGTAGAAAACCAATAGGTCCGGCGAGGGTTAAGTCATCGATATCAAAATTCTGAGATATACGAATTGTAGCTACTAATGACCTTATATCATCCTGCGCCTTTCAAAGGCCTCCGACATCTACTCTAGCTCTGACACGGTGACAAAGTTGCAAAAAAGCGACTTAAGGTTGGGTCATTCAAAGTGACGTGGTGACCTGACCTTAAAAGTTAAAAAGTTCAAACTTGCACACCGTGTGTAAAATTGATGAGAGAATAGTCGTACCAAATTTCGCGGCGCTACGCGCCGCGGTTTTCCCGTCATCTATAACTAAAAACCTCGGGTGGGGGGGGGGGGCGGATATCCGCCCCCCCCCCGTCGGTGCGCGGGTTTGAATGATGCAGGCATTTATAACTCTGTTCTGCAGTACAATGCGATACACCGAGACAGTTTCATGGCACGTGTATGTATGCTTACCATGACGTCTATGTAATCGGCTTTGAACCAGCGGCCGCACTTTGGTAATTGCCATTTATAGCACGCTCAACACCGGATAGTCGAGCAAAGAGTTAAATCCAAGGCCGTATAAGTTAATCCGTTGAAGACTTACAGGTGTTAGGTCGAATCAAGGCCATCTATAGAATAGACCTCGAATAGGGTCGAATAGACCTTTAGGTGGAGCCACGGTGGAGCAAGCTCAAATACGCATATAACACCCTTTTTCTGCCAAATAACCATCCGATATAAAATGAAAAGCATAACACAGTGGCACTGATTAGCGGTGGAACCGGATACATAAACTTTCAGTATATATCAGTCACCTGCTGAACTCTACATTCCGTACTGGTAAATACAGAATTGAGAGAATAAAAAAACCGCAATGTGGGATGTGGGACGCAATCACATCAACAGCCAGTGGCGGTCGCAGGGGGGGGGGGGCATCAGGGCCATGGCCCCCCCCCCCAAAGGCAAATCAGGGGGGGGGGGCATCATATCATTTGGCCCCCCCAAACAACCGATGGGCCCCCATGGCCGTAAGGGGCCCTGGCCCGTATTCGATTGTCACGAGGCTCGAGAAACCCACGCCAGCCATTAACAGCTGACCTCTGAGGGCCCTTCAGTGGCGGTCAAGCGTCCACATTGACCGCTGAGGACCCACATTGACCTCTGAGGGCCCTCCACTTGCCTTTGAGGGCCCCTAAACCGGCCTCAGGGGCCCAACCGGCCTCTGGTGGTCTCATTTCTGTCTCTCGAGGCCCAAGACTAACCTTTAAGTGTCTCTGAGGGCCCCGCACTGGATTCTGAAGACCCGATGTCGGCCTCTGAGAGCCCGCATCGGCCTCTGGGGCCCATCTTGGCCGTTGAGGGCCCTCCGCTGGTCTCTGGGGTCCAACGCCGGCCCATGCCGGCCTTTTAGGGCCCCACACTGACCTCTAAGGGCCCCATGCTGGTCTGTAAGTACCCACATTAGCCTCTAAGGGCCCCCCCGCACTGGATTCTGAAGACCCAATGCCGGCCGGTCAGGGCCCGCATCGGCGTCTGAGGGCCCATCTTGGCCTTTGAGGGCCCTCCGCTGGCCTCTGGGGTCCAACGCCGGCCCATACCGGTCTTTTAGGGCCCCACATTGACCTGAGGGCCCCATGCTGGCCTGTAAGGACACACATTAGCCTCTATGGGCCCCGCACTGGATTCTGAAGACCCGATGCCGGCCTCTAAGGGTTCGCATCGGACTCTGAGGGCCCATCTTGGCCTTTGAGGGCCCTCTGCTGGCCTCTGGGGTCCAACGCCGGCCAATGCCAGTCTTTTAGGGTCCCATTCTGACCTTTGAGGGCCCCATGCTGGCCTGTAAAGGCCCACATTAGCCTCTGAGGGCCCCCCGCACTGGAATCTGAAGACCCGATGCCGGCCTCTAAGGGTCAGCATCGGCTTCTGAGGGCCCATATTGGCCTTTGAGGGCCTTCTGTTGGCCTCTGGAGTCCAACGCCGGCCCATACCGATCTTTTAGGGCCCCACACTGACTTCTGAGGGCCCGTACTGTCCTGTAAGGACCCACCTTAGCCTCTGAGGGCCCCGCACGAGCTTCTGAAGACCTGATGCCGGCCTCTAAGGGCCCGCATCGGCCTCTGAGGGCCCATCTTGGCCTCTACTGGCCTCTGGGGTCCAACGCCGGCTCATGTCGGTCTTTTATGGCCCACGCTAACCTCTGAGGGCTCCATGCTGGCCTGTAAAGACCCACATTAGATTAGCCTCTGAGTGCCCAATTCGGTCTCTGATGGTCTCAAACTGCCCTTTGGAGGCACTGTACTGGTCTCTGAGGGCCCTAAACTGGCCCCTAAGAGCCCAAACCAGCCTCTAAAGGTCCCACACCGGCCTCTGATGGTCCCATTTCTGTCTCTGGGACCCAAACTGACCCTCATGTGCCTCTGAGGGCCCCGTACTGGCTTCTGAAGGATTGATGCCGGTTTCTGAGGACCCGTAACGGTCTTTAAGTGCCTCATACCGACACCTGAGGCCCCACACTAGCCTCTGAGGGGGCCCAAAACTGGCCTATGAGGTCTCTACACCGGCCACTGATGGCCCTATTATGTTCTCTGGGGGCTCAAGCCTTACCTTTGGACGTCACGCACTTGCCTCTGAAGGCCCACATCAGCCTCTGGGGCCCTACCTGGGGCCTTTGAGGCCCTTCGCTGACCCTTGGATCCAACGCCGGCCTCTGGGGGTCTGACACCGTACTATAAGGGCCCCATTGCAGCCTCTAGGCGATAGGTATCGCTGAAGCGCAATCGATGGGCCGATAAGTGTAGGAACCATGGGTGCAGTGGGCGCAGTTGCACCAACAATAATTCTGCATAGGGTGCAGACAATGTATTCTGCATCCACAATAATCTGGAACAAACCCCCTTTTCTCAGCAACACTACATACTTTCCATGCAGCACGACAAATTTAGGATATTTTGCCCACTATCCATCTTTCGAAGCATTTGCTACTGTAATGGTCTTCAAAACTTACATTTGTGCTCAAGTACCTAAAAAACAAAAATGAAACGGAACACGTGTGATTGAACAGTGAACAGATACCGATGACCCACTGTCAAAAGTTTTAGCACGATGATCTCAGAAAATGGCAAAGTTAGCCGTCTTTACTTTTGCGGTAGTCCATTCACATTTGCGTGAGTTATTGGCATTATCAATGCTTTAAAATGCACTTATCGGTACCTTTTCGACATGGAACATCCTCAAAGCTCGCAACGAGCCTCCGCTCGAGTGCCGCTCCCTACCCCCCCCCCCCCCCGCTTCACCGGCCATGGCCTGGATTTCTGCACCCGTGCACTACGCCCGTGGGCCCCTTTAAGCTAGCACTGGGCCCCCCGGGTCAGCGCAGGGGCCCCTTTGCCAAGTTGGCCCCCCCCAAACTCCAAGTCTGCGACCGCCCCTGTCAACAGCAGCGTCACGGGAAACATGAAGTTAGTGCACGCAGCTTATCAAGCAATTGCAGCACAATCGGGCATTGCTGTAAAATGGGCCATCGACATTTTCACTTACAAATTACTCACTTACCTATATCGCTGGTCCCCTCTGGACAGCAAGTGGCCAGAAACGTCCGAAGAAGTACAGGTAGCAGATATAGGTATAACAGAGTCAAGATCCTTTTCAACATACCGCCTACGATCTGTGGCTGTGCGGCGTGCATAGATATAAAGAAGTGATCCACCGACTCGACCATCAATTTGGGAGGCTGCCCCTCTCCCCTACCGCTCCTTCCTTTCAGCCTTTCCCCTGGCTGCGGCTCGTCGCTTGCCAGGGTCTGGCACTGTGGTTAGTCAGGTTACCTTCTGATTGGTATTTGGTCATGTATGCTGCGAAGTGAACCGACGCTGCATAATGTATGCGTCACTCTGTGTGAAGTGTGGACCATTCCGTGTGACTGCACGCTCGTTCGCAAATCACAAATATTTGTTTTTCAGTTTTACACGCTGGACGCATTGGCCCAGCCGGTACCGATTCACTCCGTTTGGACTACGCCCCTGTCACCTAACGGAAAGCGGCAGAACTACTGCTTCCCTTTCATCCGCCAGGTTTCCAGCTGGCCGACTTCGCCGATGATCAGAACACTGCTACGTCGTTGGGTTTTGAGCTCCTCGACGCAATGATGGCGGCGCGCTCACCGCCGTCACCGACCCGCAGGCCACGCCCACCACTGTCGGTGCCGACGAAAAAATCGCCGCTGAGTGGCTGGCCGTATTGATTTTGAGCCGCCCTTGGCGTGCAGATTATGCGGCGCGGGAGGAGCGCAGTAAAAACACGCATCGACACCGACGGGGTGCGTCGACGATCAATGGCCGACGATCGACCGTGACGTCACTGCGCCGAAGGAATCGTCGGCAGCTCCGGATGAGGCTCTTGTCGCATGCTGAGGCGTCACCTCATCTCTTTCCAGGGATGTCTTCAGTAGCGGCGGAACACCTTCAATTAACCCTGGCGGGCCCGGGGGGGGGGGGCGTTTTTCGCCCCCCCTGGCGAATATTTGCGATAACTCCCAAACGCTTAGGGATAGGAGGGCGAAACTTTCAGTACCTTTTCTCCCATCAATTTGACATCTTCTGAAGTAAAAAATTTGGACCTAGCCCCCTTGATGACGTCACAAGGTCCATTTTTCTAGACCCCTGCACGGCAAACTTCGGCGTCACAGACGCAAACTTCAAATAGCTGCTAAAAATAGAGTTTTAGAGATAAAGACAAATTACGAGCACGGCTGTGTAGCGTTTGACCTAGAGAAAAATAGAAAAATAGTTTTGGTGACCTGAGGTCAGAGGTCAGGTCAACGACCCCGAAATGTGGTTTTAGTTTTTCGCAAATAACTTCGACAAAAATGGTCCTAGAGCTACGGCAGTGGTACCATCGCATTCGCCTTGTCAAGCCGCGTCGAATGATATATATTTTGTTCGGAAAAGGTCAAGTTTCATGTTGACCTCATGTGACCTCGAATGACCTCTGGTTGACCTTGACACATGAAATGTCGTTTATGATGGATTTGTACCCGCTGATCACGAATCTGGCATCTATTTTCCTCTAAGCCTTCATTTAGAGCTTCCGGATGGCAAAATTGTCTTATTTATTATTACTAACTTGAAGCAGTGAAATAGCCTCTAGCAGGGATACTCTTCTGTGACCTTGTCCTTTGAGCAGCCTTGTATCGTAAGATAAACCACAAATAGGGAACTGATAAGCCTCAAAACATTTCAAAACATCTTGGAAGTTAGCACGTAAGATGTGCGAAAAAGTGCCAAGTTTGAGGTCAATTTTGAGCGTGACCTTGACCTTGACCTTTGATTTGGAGCACATGTTCAGAATCCTCAGATTCTCTCCTTTCGTTTGACATCCAATTTTGCCGGTTTGATGCAGCCTGCCGTCCTCTAGAAGGCTTACTTTGAGATCACTACACATGTGCCGGTTTTGGCCTTTGACCTTGACCTCTGACCTTGAAAATTGACCTGAGGTCAAAAATTTTAGGTGCATAAGAATTGTCTCGTAAGGACCTTTCGTTTGTTATCGCTTTTGTTTCCGTAGCTCCCTTATTTACGGAGTTAGACAGGGGGGGGGGGGCGAAAACGCCCCCCCCCCCCGGGCTGCGGTGGTTGGGATTACCCCCCGGGCCCGGCCGGGTTAAGGGGGGGGGGCACTGCCGACTTTTGGTCCCATTCTTTTCATGCAACGCCCATAGGGCTAATGTTAAAATGCCAAAATCAAAGGGGGGCACGGTGCCCCCTTTGCCCTCCCCGTTCCGCCGCCTATTGATGTCTTTGTCTCTTTAGTGGGTCCTTATAACCTACCCTTATTTAATTTGGTGTCGTTTTAACACGACCCCTCTGCTCCGACGCTGGCATTCAGGTGTTCATTTTTTTTCTTTCCTCACTACCTATCTTTTTTGCTATTTTGCGCTTCTTTGGCAAATCCACAATCCAAAATTGCCTTGCGTGACAGAGAGCTAACTTGTCCAGCTAACAGAACCCAAACCGTCATGCCGTAGCAGGGCCTCGATGCATTACGATTCGAATAGAATCACCGCGCACAATGCGGAATCTTCTGCTGACTATATTGTGGTGTTTCCATTTTTTTTTGTCCTTATACCTAATAGCCAATTCGCGGCCAATGTCGAACAAAGCGTTACTGATAGGCGCAGCACTCATGGGAGATACTGAATGTCGCTTGTACTCCATTGCATTGAACGTCTCATGAAACGTGCACAATGGCTAAAGCTGTCTTGTCCTCGCTCATAGAAATGTTCTTTTGGCATGCAACGTGCGCAAAGTCGGAAGTGACAAAAGTGGAGTGACAACTTTGTTTATCAAAGCTCCACAACCTTATAACTTTTCAGGGCGTGTCGGCTACCACTGTCAATAATAGTGAAGAGACATCTTGGATGAGACCATAAGAATGAAATATATTGATGCACCATGGTGACCTTTCTTACATCCTTTTCATATTTGTTTTGTTGTTGTTGTGATTGTGGTTAGGTCCAACTGAGTACATGCTAATCGGCTGTAAATGATTAACTATTTCATCTTAAGTATCTAACTCGGCAATAAAGATGATATACAAAAAAAAGCTCTGTCTGCTAAAGGGACATTTATATCCAATGCCTATACGAATATGAGGCCGTGGATCGAATACAACTAAAATCCCAGCTATGCAACAAGCTGCAATGTAACGGATTAAGCAATACTATATCTGCAAGCACACATGATTTTTGTTTATTGCAGTGATCTGTCGATTAGAATACAGCCGGTGCTAAGTCTTGATGATGTCGTTTTATTATTCAAGTTTCATTTTTATCAGCGATTGTGTTTCCAGATCTATACATTAACCCTCGCATGTGTGCGGCGTTTGCCAGCTTCTAACGTGTAGGGGGGGGGGGGGGGGGGGGTCCAACCGACCCCCCTTGCCGTTTGGCCCCTGATCGAGCTAGAGCTTCGCGGAAAAAGCGAGCGTATTGCCCGTCACGAGACGAAGCCATTGCTACGTAATTTTAAGGTCCTAGGTCATTGTTTGACCTTCCAGGTCAGGTCAATGACCCAAAAGTCGGGAATATCGGGACCTAATAATAATATAGTAATAACCAGTAACCTCATAATATAAATCAGAAAAAGCAGCCAAAACGTTATACATATTTAAAGATATCGAATATTTCGCTCCTGGAGCTTCGTCGAAGCTTCGGACGAAGCTCCAGGAGCCAAATATTCGATAACTTTAAATATAACTTTTTGGCTCCTATTTCTGATTTATATTATGAGGTTACTGGTTATTCTTATATTATTATTATTAATCATGAGCCTCAAGCAGAGTTTCAGTTTTTTTAAGAAATATCGGGACCTCCTAGAAAGTCGTAAAGTGTGGCTGCTTAGGGGCTTAGGGGTTTTCCGAGGTGCTGATCACAAATATCGTGTTAGGTTTGATCACAGATGATTTCGTTAAGCTTTTATACCAGGTTGGGTAAGGTCAGGTCAGGTCAACCAGTAGGGGTCGTGACGGGTATTCGTAGTAGGTGTCAACCGCCTCTAACAGCTTCGTAACAGTTACGAAGGCACCAAAACTACTTCGTAAATGTTCAAATCTCTTGGTTCAAATGGTTTCTAAATTCGAATTCAGCTCCAAAAGCTAGCCTAGAAACATGTAAAACTCGAAAAAGTGAACCGAGATCACCAAAGGTCAATGACCTGACCTGACCTTCAGGTGACCTTGACGTCCACCCTAATGCATGGGAGCAACATCGAATCACATGTCTGAACGTTTGAAACCACGAAAAGCTTGCAAATGCGCGGCTAATGCCGGCGAGCCGACATACGCCGAATCGCGATTCCGGCCAAAAAAATGGTTTTGAGAAATAGGTCACAGGTCAAAGGTCACTTAGGTCAGGGTCATGAAATTCTCAGAGTAGGTGTACAATTGATCAACTCGAGGGTACTGAAAGTTTCGTCGCAATCGGCCGCTTTTTGCGGGAGTTATTCGCGAAAAAACATTGGGGGGGGGGGGTCCATCCGACCCCCTACACATGGGAGGGTTACATGCTAGCCAATGTAGAATTTAGGTCATGTAGCCCATCATCGTTAAGAATATACCTACCGTAGCAACACCTATGCTGCAATGGGCTACCTTGATGTAGTGGCCAGATAGAGGGAATGTTTCCTCAGAAATGTTTCAGTTCTTCCAACAATTTCCATAACGACGCACCGTTCAGTGCGTAATTCAGGTAGTAAGGGCAAGTTTACAGCTGTGTGTGGGGAAACTATCGCTGAACGGTGATCACGGGCAGCGTCACACCATAAACATGGAGTAATTGTGCCTGGCCTCGGTCCCAGATCGGTTTCATGTGACCGCAGCTCGCCGGCGGTAAAGGCTCATCACCTGCGGGACGCACCTGCCTTCCACGCGCGGCGGCTGAACGGGCTCCGAGCGGCTATCGGGATCGGCAGAGAGCTTCTGATCATCGCTTAACTTACTCCAGTATTCGTATACCTTGCCTACCTTTCTGAGCGTGCATCTTGCTGGCAACAAGGTGAAACAAGTCATTAGAAATATATAACACTTAACCCGCGCCCCACTGGGGGGGGCTATTTATAGCCCCCCCTCCCGTTTTTCTGCAATAACTTCCAAACCGCTTAACGTATCGACGCCAAACTTTCAGTACCTTCGGCTGCATCAATTTGACACCTTGTGTCAAAATTTGAACTTCGTAGCTACCATAGGTCGGCCGGAAATGACGTTAGAGTGACGTCATGTTCGTCCGATTTCGACGCAAAACATTGAACCACGGCAATCGCTCCCAAGAGCTCAGTTTTTAAGCTAGATCCAATTTCTTTGCATGAAAGGACTCAGAATTGACCGCGCTATCAAACTGTTATCTCGGATTTTCAAAATTTTGAAAATTTCGAAAATTTTATATAATAATATTCAAAATTTATATTTTTATATTTTTTTCAAAAAGTTTTTGACTTTTCGAAAAAACCGGAATATATGTGACAGAACGCATGATTATGACTAACTCTAGCAAGTTTTAGCTAAATATCTTCAAAAATGGCCAAGTTATACGCATTATTGCAAAAAATTCACAATTATTATTTTTTCAAATCACTTTTTCAGTGCGTATTTGACATCGTACACCAATATAAATGGCACCATCGTGTTCCTGAGCTCAAACTGCATCCAATTGACACCTTTTTTGTTGAAAAATTTTAACTTCAAAATTTGACCTTTTTTGACCTGAAAGTGACCTGACCTAAGCTAAATTCGACTCAAAATGACCTCGAATGACACAGACGACATAAAATTCGAAATCTATGGCCTAAATGGACCATAAAACATGTGTCACGTGACCGATGTATGATATAATATTTTCGTGACCTGTGATGACCTGACCCTGACCTGAAAATCAAAGTACAAG